CCGCTGCCCCTCCACGCAGGGTCCCTCACAGCTTCTGTGATGTCGCTGTCACTGCTCCAGCCTAGCAGGGCAAGGAAGGGGCTTTGGAGACAGGGAAGGCAAGGGGGTCCCGCTCTAGTGGGGCCGGCACAATCAGGGCCGGGCGGAGCCGCAGCTGCAAACTGACACAAAAGACGTGCCTTAAAGGAACCCGCCGCTGTGCCCAGGTGCCCCTTGTGGCAGCCCGCTAGGCCCCTCGGCCCAAAGGCCACAGCATCTCCTTCCCCCAGCTCCACCCCCCCCCTCACCAACCTAGGGGCAGGCAGGCAGGCCCCCAGGGGCAGGCAGGCAGGCCCCCTCCCCTGCAGAACTGTTAACTTATTTCAGCTCGCTGGCTTTGCACAGCCTGTCCTAGGCCCAACCCTGAGCCCCGGGTGGGCACAGGTGGCCATCACCTGGGGACTCCCCACTGTCAGCAGCAACCCCAGGACCTTCTCCCCCAACAATCCACTGCTTCCCCCTCCTTGGTATAAGTGCAATTAAAGCCGTGGGTGTTGATTCTTCTCCAGAGCTGGGTCCTCCCTAGCCCTGCAGCCCTAAAGAGAGGCACTCCCCTAGCCTGGCTGGGGGGAGTGACAGGGGTACAGGGCCCAGCTTCCAAAGAGCAGCAGGTTGGGCCAGGCAGGAGAGCCTGGAGGGGCCTGCTGCAGACAGTGGGGCAGAAGTACTGCACTGGCACTGCCAGGGCTGGGTGCTCCGCTCCCTCAGATCCAAGATCCCAAGCCCCCAGCCCTCCCTGCCACCAGTCAGTAATGGAACCTCTGTGCTCCCCTCTTCAGGGAGACAGACTGTGCTTCTCCTTTTTCTCCTCTGTGCTGTGTGACATCCCCCCGCCCGACTATTGTGCGATTTGTGAGCGCTGCCTAAGCGGAGTTGGTAACTTGTTGGTTTTTTTCCAACCATCATGGCCTTATCTGTTCCGGTTTTCTCGGTGTTTTCAACTTGTGAGATAGATGTTTATGGCAAAAAACAAAAAAATAACCAGAAAAATCTGACCTATTGTATAAAAATCACTATTTTGTGTGCTCCGCGTGCTCCAGCTTTTGGGGTGGTCCACCCACTCCCACTCCCACGGCCTCAGGGCCTCCCCTCCCTGCGGTGAAAGGTGAAAGTGTCCAAGCGTGTGGTAGTCTAGTGTGCTGAGCTGTTTTCTACCTTTTTGTAGTCTTTCTTAAAACACAATAAATTCCGCTGTGATATTTGGCTACTGCTTGCCGGCCTTGGTGGAGGTCTGGGGCTTGAGAGCTCCAGGAGCGACAAGTGGACCACAGTCAGGTTCAGAAATAGAACATTTATTACACGAAGAGGGACGAGGTGGAGGACAGAGGGATGGCCACGAGGTTTGCCACCTCAGGTTTGCGGGGGGGGGGGGGGGGGGGGGGGGGGGGGGGGGGGGGGGGGGGGGGGGGGGGGGGGGGCGGATTGGGCAGGGGAACAGGGTCCATTTGGCCTCCACACTTGTAGTCACAAGGGGTGCCAGGGCCCATGCCCTTGGAGTGGTGGCTGTGGGGCAGGGGCTCCCCCCTCTGCCCCTTCCCAACTTAAATAGGCATAAATAAGAAGCGTCCAGACTCTCAGGCCACCAGGGGCTGCCCAGCCCAGCCCCCTTCCTGCAGCCTAACACTAGTGCCGGTCGTTGGTCGGCAGGCCAGGCGGGAAGAGGCTGCCAGGAAGGCGGCCAGTTTTCAGGCCGCGGAGGTAGTTGGAGTCAGTGTCCAGGGTGGCCGGGCCCTCACAGCACAATCCATGTGTATCGCTCGCTGTCTGCCAGAACCTTCAGTGAGCAACCTGGAGGTGGAGGATGAGACAGCTGTGGAGCCCCAGGGGACCCAGGCTGCTGGAGGAGCCTGTCTCTCCCCAATCCGACAAGGACCCAGAAGGTCCCGGAAGGCAAGCATCCCACTGAGTCCATCTCTGCCTCCTGCCTGCAGTAACCCAGTAAAAATCTAGTGACTAGAGGTCCCAGAGAACCACACCTGCCATGCCCTTCCTGAACTGGCCTCACTCTGCCAGTGATTCCCCGATTCCATGGTATCCACTAGCAGGACCAATGTGCTACTATTCAGCAACACTCAGAACTGGCACCAATGCCAGAATGAGGACCTGTCCTGACAGTCTCCTGACAGTCACCAGGCTGCAGGGCTCACCTTTGTGCAGTGCCTCATTGGTCATCCTGTTGACATAGCGACCGCTGCTTTCAGGCACTAGCCACTTCATCACCATATCTACGCAGCTCTTGCGGTAGGAGCTCCAGACACTGCCGCTGAGGGTGAGGGCATGAGTGACTCTCATTGCCCCAGTCACCCGCCCCAGCCACCAGCCCTGGTGCCAGGCTTGCCTCACCTGGTCTGCCCTTTGACCTCTGTGAGGTCGCCCACGCTGACTGTCACAAAGATGCCGGTATTGAGGTCCCAGGCCACCTTGAGGCTGGTGTGGTAGGTCTTTGGTCTGCAAGGGATGGGAGGCAGAGGAAACAGGTGGGACCAGCATGTCCCTGAGCTGGGACCAGGCTACCCAAATGGGTTTTATCTTTGAAGCAGTAGCAGAGGGGCTGATCCAGGTCTGGGGGCCAAAAGTCTCCTCACATCACACTCCCCCTCCACTGAATTGTCCATCGGTGGTGCCTGACCACTCACCGGAGCTGGCCCTCCTCAGTGGGAGATGGGAAGGCCAGGAGCAGCAGGCCAATGTTGATGAGGACCTGGTTGGTTTCTGGGCAGACCTGGAGGGCAGAGAATAGACAGTGAGGGTGATCCCCAGAATGACTGGGGAGGCCCTAAGCATTACTGTCCCATCCCAGCTCACCTCCAGAATGACGATGTCATAGTCACTAAAGGAACAGAACTGGTGACCCCAGGTGGCATCGTGGCGTATGACCTCATTGATGACATACTCAAAATCCAGTGTGAGCTGCTCCACAGTCAGGTACTGACCCTGCCGGCAGAAGGGGTAGGGACAGGGGTAGGACTGTGGCAAATGCCACCCCAGCAGGCTGCCTAGGGTTGCCCACCTGTCTACCACCAACACTAACCTGGACAGCAGCCTGCTCCCGCATGGGCCGCAGGTTGCGACCACGGAGATCGGTCACCACAAAGGGCAGGGAGATCTTGTCATCCTCAAATTCTGAAGAGACAGGAAGTGGGCATAGGTGGGGTGGGAGGTATGAAGCTGATCTCCAGGGTGACCTCCCATGCCCACAGTCCTGCCATCCTCCCCCTCTCACCCTTCCACTCACCATCTTCTGGCTCTGTCCCTTCACCAGAGCCCAGCACATAATAGAGTTTGGTGTAGTTGATGTAGCCGGGCTCAGGAGCAGCCACCTCAGCTGCAGGGGGACTATCCCGTGGCACTGCATCCCCACCTGGGGCTAGGGGCTCAGAGGGTGCATGACAGCGGCTGCCTGAGGGCCCTGGGCAGGGAGGCAGCCGGGCTTCTTCTGAGACCCCACCCTTGGCCTCTTTGGCCCTGCGGAAGATGTCTGCCACAAATTCCTTGGCTTTAGCAATGGCAGGTGAGGGCTCAGGGGCCCCAGAGCACCGGGCTGGTGCTGCCTCGGGGCAGGAGCTGGGGAAGGCAGGCGGTACCTCTGGGCTTGGGGGCCCAGGGGGATTGGGATGGACTGGGGGCAAGGTGGTGTGGTCATACAGGATTTGGCAGAAGTTGCTATCGCCTGAAACAAAAGAAGCAAGAGAAGTGGGGGAGGGGGAGGATTAATAAATTGAAGTCCAGGATACTCCCAACTCACTCACTGTCTCATTATTCTGAATAAGGTTTCCTTGAGGAAGCCCTTCAAGATTTACCTTTGCTGAGAGATCAGTTTGAAACCCCGAGAAAGGAAAAGGCCCGCTCACACACATGCTTGCACAGGTGCGCATACACACTCTCATTTAAGCCTTACTGACAACCTACTGTATGCTAAATGCTGAGGAAAAAGGACTAAACTAGACAGACAAAATCTCTGCCTGTGGAAGCTTAATGTCTCTGGTAGTGTATTTATGCAAGAAGTTTGGGGTTTACTACACAACCCTCCATCCTGACAGAATGGCCAAAGCCAGGACTTCCTCTCCCTCTCTGCTTGTCTAGAGGTGAGATCCCCATTAGAGAATGTGAGGTCAGTTCATACTGAGCAGTTCCAGAGTCAGGCCCAGGTTCTGCGTGTACTGACTCCTTTGGACCCCCTACCAGCAGCCCCAGGAGAGGAGACCACGTCTCTCTGGTTCAGAGACTGGGGACTGAGGCTTAGGGAGAAACTTGTCAAGGTCATGCATGAGATAATGTGAGTCTGGCTCTTGTTCACTATAGTGGTAATGCTTGGGGGAGGGGAGTGTGAGACCGGAAAATGGCCAAGTCAAAGCACCCCCACTGTGTATATGTGGTGATGGGCGTTAGATACGTGAGCCCAGTACAGCTCTGGAACACTGGGGCTCATGGCTCCGTGAGGGGAGTACTTGAATCATACTGGCACTGGTGGACAGCACAGAGGCAGGTGGCCCTAGAAGGGGCTGAACATAAAGCCTGCTGGCCCCTGATGATTTTTGCTCTAAATACATTTAGTTCTCTCTTCAAGTCCAAGTCCCTCCCTCTCCCCCCTCTAAGGGCAACTATTTCAAGGTAGTTAAAAATTATCATTGTATTTGACTGGGGCCTTGCAAAATTCCAACAAATGTGTAAGCTCTTATCAGATGTTTGTTTACATCTTTGCACATCTTTTAGACATGCAATTTGGGAAGCTCACTGGGCCCGCAGATAAGGAGGATCTACCTGCCCTACTCCTCAACCCCTGGGTGGACACCAGGCAGACCCTAGCGGCTGTCCCCTCAACCTTGCACACGCCTGTGCATCCACATCATCCACATCATGGAGTAGTGGAAGAATTATCCTCACAGGAGCCTACCTGCCGAGTGAACTGAGACGGCACAGGCCACCAGGGAGTAGCTGGTGTTGAGCAGCACCACCTGGTCCTTCTTGAGCTGAAAGGCAGGCTGGAAGGTGGGGAAGGGGTAGACCACCTGGTACTTGGTGTGCAGCATGAAGCCATGCCGCAGGCACTGTGCACTCGGGTCACCTGCAGCAACACACGCCACAGGCTCATGCTTAGCCCTGGGGTGGCAGGGAGGCAGAGGAGTACCCCAGACCCTCAGTCCCTCACCTGGGTGGGCCCGGCTGGCTTCCTGGCAGGCAGTACAGCGGCCTGGCGGTGGCACAGCCACAGTACTGATGTAGATGTCACGGTGGTTCTCGTCACTCATCATCATCATGTTCATGAGCATTCCATTGGCTGAGCGGGTGCTGGGGGCCACACACCCTCAGCAGCCTGGTCTATACATCCCTTCCCAACCCACTCTCAGCCCCCCAGATTCCCAAGTCGTACTTAAAACCGAAGACGATGACTTTGGAGGCATCACTGGGCCACTCACACACAGTCAGGTACAGGTCGCTGTAGATTTCCTCGTCCTGGAAAAGCCGCACCTGCCGTACCTGAGCAGCATGTTTGAGGTCAGTGCAGGGCCAGAGGGGGAGCCCCAAGCAGCCTCTGTCCTGCTGCCTATCTTTCTGAGGACAAGTTGGGGAGTTCCCCTCATAAGTAAGGGAAATGAGTTGGACCTCGACAGGGAACTAGTCCAGGCACTAAAGTTCCAAGCCCCAAAACCTGTTCATCTCTCTGAGCTCAAGTGTAAACTGGAGAAAAATCAGCCACATCCTGGATAGGGTTCAAGGAGTCAAGGTCAGGACTAATGCCACTGTGGCAGCCTCTTTGGTCCTCACAAAGTTAATGGGTGCCACTTAGCCTGAGGCTGCCGTGCGTTAAAGAACTTATGCACTGAATTGAGCCACATGATATCACCACTGTCTTCCCATTTTCAACCACAAAAACAGGGTTTTCGTGTAGTACCATCTGACAGTCTGGACAAGGCCCCACAGGTACACAGGGTGTCATGACCAGCTGGGGTCACGCTGTTGGAAGGAATAGCCTGGCCCTACCAGTTTGAGCTTGCTGTGCACGTTGAACTCCCACCAGTACAGGTGGTAGATGTAGAAGGAGAAGTCATCATCCCCACTGCTGCTGGTGTAAGAGAGGACGTAGCGGCCACACTTAGAAAAGCCCAGGAAGATGTGTCTGTGGAGGCGATGAGCAGGGGACACAGTAGCCAAGTTAGCCTTAGCCACTGCCCCGCCCAGCCAACCCCCAGTTTGGTCCCAGCCTCACCCTGCATAGAGAAAGTCCTCATCCACAATGTTCTTGAGAGACACGCAGACCCTGGGTGGCAGCTTCCGGAAAAGGCGAGGAGACAGTTGCCCACTGATCTGGGAAAGGGATGATCAAGGCCTTGAGGCAGCATCTGGCAGATCCTGCCCAAAGTCCCCAGCTAGCTCACCTCAGGCAGAACAGCCTCCGCCAGGGTCCGGACCAGCCAGGCAGGCCATTCCCTGCCAACTGTAATGGTTAAGTGGCCCAATCTCTTGGGACCACAAGTTGAGACCGATCAACCAGTGAGAACTCCCATCAGCCTCCCTCTCAGTACAACAGTCTTCAGCTTTAGGGTCTCTCTTGCACAAATCCCCAGGCTCTGAGAACCAGCAATAAACATCATCTGCTCTAGGAAGGCTTCCAGTCACCTCTGGCCCACTCCAGGTCACCTGGCTGCCTTCTTGAAGACTGCCTCATGGAATACTGAGCTATGGCTGTCCTCAACTGCTAAGGAGGCTGGGGTGGGACAAGAGTCTTAATTCACCTGTCCCTAACCTACTAATCTATACTTGGTGTACTAAAGTGCCTCAGGACAGCCCTGTCACTAACTGGGGTCAGTCAAAGCAAACCAAATGCAGAAACTCTCCAGTGACCTTCCAATTCCTGCTTAATACCCCCTTCTCAATCAACCTCTAACCTTCTAATCAACTCACTGATCCCCAGACTTCACCAAAGAAGGACTTGGAGACAGGCAGGCACAAACTGACATTGGGAGAATAAAACCCCCTGGGTCTTGCATGCATACCAGTCTGATGTAAGAGACACTGCCCTGTCTTCAAGTGAGTTCAGTCTGGTGGGAAACAGAAAGCCCTGACTAAGGAGCCTCCTGGCCAACAGGAGGCACAGTCCAGCCCTTAAGGAGATCCCAGCCTGATGGAACAGCCTTGTTGGTCAGGGCCAGGGTGACAGGAGAGACACAATCCTAGTACAGGAGCTTAAACGGTGAAGGTGGTGCCACAGTCCTGCTCAGGGAGCTCCAGGCTGAGGGTGGAGACTGTCCCTGACCAAAGAGCTCCCAATTAGAAAGCAGGCACTGCCTTGCCTTCATGGAGCTGCCAGCCTAATAGAGGCAATCCACAGACAGTTCTGCCAGGCTGGCAGCTTAAAAGAAGGCAAGTTCACATCTCTGCCCTCCCTGAGCTTCCAGACTCAAGGAGTTTAGCCTGACGGGGGAGGCAGAGCCCTGCTTAGGTAGCACAGTCTGAGGGAGATGATCGGGCTCTCTCCAAGGAGCTCCCTCCCATTCAAGGCGGAGAAGCAGACATGGGTACAGGAACTCCCAACTCCCGTGTGGTCAGAGGCCGTACAGAGAGAAACATCAGGAGGAGGAAGCTCAAAGTCGGAGCAGGGGCTTTGCCCAAGGGGCGGAAAGCCTCGATAACGGAGGGGCTATGAAAGTAAGTTCTGAAAAATGAATCTCACCCTAGATCAGCCCCCTCCTCCTTATTCCTCCAGCAAGCCTCTAAGGTCCGCTCCATCCACGGCTCCTCCCCGGGACCCCGCCCCCAATCCGTCCATCTGAGCCCCCTCGCCGGTGCCCCGCTCCCGGTTCCTCCTACCAAGCTCTCACCCCAGACCCTTCCTCGCAAGTCGTCTCGCGGGGACCCCGCCCAGCCCCCTTCATTAGTCCCCTCCCCCGGGACTCCGCCCCCAACCCCTCACCCCGCGAATGCCCTCCCTCCCTCCGCCTCCCTCGTCCCTCCTCCCCACCCTCAGGCACGCTCCGTCCAGACTCCCAGGCCTTACCTTGACCCGCTCCAGCTGCTTGAGGACGTGCTCCCGCCGCCGACCCGTTGCCCGCTTTCCCCCGGCGCCCCCAGGGCCGCCGCCACCGCTCCCGGCCCCGCTGTTCCGCTCCGATTTCGAGCTGGGCGCCATTTTCACCCCCTCCCTCCACTTCCGGAGCAACCGGCCTCTTCGCCCCACCCCTGCCGCCTCCTCATTGGCCCTTTATTGAGACTGCAGCCTGACGATTGGGTAAAAGCCTGCTCTCGGGGCCTCGGCCCGCTACGCATGTCTATCATAGCCACTTCGACTCTTAATTGGTGGAGATGGTTACAACTCCCGCGGCCGTAGTGTATTCCCGCCCTTCCGCGAGAACGCACCCGTCAAAGGGCTCGTTTGTGCCCCTCGTCGAGAAGAATTTGATCTGATAGGCCCATACAGCTGTCTCTCTCGGCGGCGTCACGCCCCCCTATGGCTGCAGGGTTTCCATGGACACAGCGGACGGTCCAGGCCTGTCGGCGGAGCAGTGGGAGAACCTGTGATGCAGAAGGGCCATAATACCCAACTCTGGCAAGTCCGCACCCATCCTGGGTGAGTGGAAGTCTGGCGAGCATCCCAGCACCTCAGAACCGGCCGACGACAGGAATTTGCAAAAAGAAAATAAAATGATGGGACTCCATTAAAACATCTTTTAAATGGAGTGGGGGCAGCTTGATGGAATGATAATAACATGATAGCTCTACACGTGCAGGTTCTGAATTTACAGTTCTATGTGGCAGGTGGCTGTCATGCCCATTTTACAGATGATATTAATAAATAATAATTTTAAATGTCTGCTGCCATTATTAATTTCATAGGTATTAGCTTATTTTATTTTCTCAACAGTCTTAGAAATAAGTCTTTTTATTATCTTCACTTTACACGTGGTAAAACCGAGGCTGTAGCACAGAGAGAAAGCTAACATCTCAGTCCTCTATTCTTCCAGCCTTTTGCTTTCATTTATTCAACAAATATTTATTGAGCCCTTACTATATTCTAAGTGCTAGGGATCCAGCAGTAAACAAAAGATGACAAACGAGGAAATAATTTCTGTTCTCTAATTCCAGACAGGAATAGAAAGTAAGGGGAAGGAAGAAGACTGGACCGTAGTGACTGGACAGAACAGTCAGAGAGAGACTGTGATGATGAGAAGGAGAATGTTCCAACAAAAACAACAGTGGTCAGATTGAATGACCAAAAAGGGACCAAAGCAGGAATGAGCAAGGGCAAAAGTAGCAAGGTAAATAGTGCATGAGTGAAAGCAGGTAGGGAGTGAGAAGGGCAAGATAAGCAAGATACTTAGATTTTACTTGTAAGCATGAAGGGAAGCCTCTGGAAAGACTTTCATAGAAGATGATAGAACCCTCTGATTTGATATAAACATCATTAGGACCAAAGAAATAAATACCCATGAGTCTGTAGTAGTGTGAAGTAAGTGACCAAATAAATAAATGGAGGGAAAGGGACTAATTATCTTTATATCAAGGTAATTATATAAAATTATAATTATCCTTATGATTCATAAAATTATCTTTATTTATCTTTGTCTTTATAAATGCAGAAAGAATGAGGAAAGTGGAAAATCACCCCAAACACCACAGTAATCTCTGCAGCAGATAAGATCTATCCTCAGGTGCTAAAATTAGTGGGTAAAATTTTTAAGATACATAGGACATTTGCCTATCCTAATGTATGTATTAATTATGGTTTTTATAAATGTCCCCAGTTATTTGGTATTCCTCGCTCAAAGAGGTAGGGCTTGATTCCCATTATTGGGGGTGAGCTGGATTTAGTGATTCCCTTCCTTTCTCTTTTTTACATTTTTTAAGGATTTAAAAATTTTTGAATATAAGAATAGAGGTACAGTCTAGAGGTGGGGGGTGTGTGAAGGGGTTTCAGAGGATTCACCAGAGACAAAGTGAGGAACAGAACAGGCAGATTGACTGAACATACACTGCTGAGGGGAGACAGGAGAGGTCTGCTACTGCCATATGGATCAGCTCCCTGGCTGGGGATCACACTGGTGCTGCAGTGGCTGCCAGATAGCTTCATGATGCTTCACTTTAACCCCTTGCACCACTAGGGACGCCCTGTTTTTTTTGTTTTGTTTGTTTGTTTTTAATATTTTTAAAAGGCAGATTTATTAGGGAAAAAGAAGGGCCCTGCGTAGTCACAGGAGGGCAGGAGTGTTTAGTGATTCCTTTCTAAGGAATATAGTATGGAAAGGGAAAAAGTGATTGGGCATGGGGAAACCTGGCAGGCATCAAGTTCGCTGTCAAGGTTGCCATCACAGTGATACATTACTGCATGTCAAGGGCCCCTGATATGCTATAATAGGGAAGGGACTTTCATCTCTCATATCATCTTCTGCTACTCCTTAAGTAAGTTATGAAAAAACATCCCTAAGAAAAAATTGAAGAACATTCTACACAGTCCTGACTAGGTGATGCAAGGGGTTAAGTCACAGAACTATAAAGCTATCCATAACCACTTCAGTACCCTCTGGATCCCAGGGAGGGAGAGCTAACCCACACTCTGCACACTCTCCTGTCTTGCCCACTGCTCCTCTCAGCAGTGTATTTCAGTAGATGTTCCTGTTCTGCTCCCCACTCTGTCTCTGGTGCACCCTTCCTCCTGCACCTCTGGCCTGCACACCAGCTCTTGTATGCGTAAATAAATAAACCTTAAAAAAAAAACCAAGATGCCAAGGTCATGACATAACCAAGAAACTGGCACAGATTACAGGAATTAGGAGGCATAACAACTAAATGAAATAAGATGTCCTGGGGGCCTCCCTTGTGGCCTAGGAGTTGTCGCAGCACTACCTCAAAGGCCCACCACTGAGGCCTGACTTCAGTCCCCGCCAGGGAGCTAACCCACATATGCAACAGACCTCTCCTGTTTCACCTGCTGCTCCCCTCAGCAGTGTATTTCAGTGGATCTGCCTGTTCTGCTCCCCACTCTG